GGTTCAACATGATGACGAAGAAGACCTGCTCCCTCTGTAGATAAAAACAGCTCATTCTAAAGTAATGAAAACACAACCGTTCTTATATTGACGTGATTATACACTAATGAAAACATACCTATGAATATTATATAACATTTTTGCAAAAAAGATCCTAAATGTTACACACTGGACCTTTAATCTATGGCAAACACATACATTTATATAAACAATATACTGTATGTATAATTTTGTAGTATTCACCTTGACAACATGAATGATAAACATGAGGAAATATGAGTGAAAGAGCGTTTTAAACAGCTTATGATGCGTCAGTCCATGTCCCTCTATCTGTTTATGGAGCAGCTTGCCCAGGGAATGCAGGTACAAAGGAGAGTGCAGCTGAGAATGGAGGCGACCCAGGAGAGATGAGCATGATGCTGCCTGACAGCTATGTAATAAAGCTGAGTTCTGCAAGACTTGTCCTGGAGGTGTTTCTCACTCTTTTGCTATCTGTTATCACTCAATAGCTGAAGTCAGGACAAAGGGAATCATAAACTGATGCGACTGTTGCTGAGTGTGTGTGCGTGTATGTGCCGATTCTCGCATACCTTTCCTGCCAGCTTGTATTAAACATCCTTTCCAAAAGCCATTTTCTATTAATAATGTTCCAGTATCTGTAAAGTTCAGCCTCAATTGTTATTTTTAAATGAGCTAATCATATCAGTCGTTTGCAATTTGTCTAAAATATACAGAACTTCTGTTTTCTTGTGAGCACTGGAAACAATAGGCTCAATCAAAAAGTCTCATTATAGGCGAGATTTACTGGCAAATGGAACAGTGAAATTGCAGTTTGGAAGAAGAGATGAACAGAGATTGTGAGCACAGAAAAGAGAAAGGCTTGATGAGAAGAGGAAGAACAGAAGCTGGAATGGAAAGCAATACGGCAACAAAGGAGAGAAAGCCAAATTGGTGAGACACAATGGCAACAATGAGGAAGAAAGATAAAAACAAAGATGAAGAACAGCAACAGGAATTGGAAAAAAAAAACTTCAGCACAAACACTTTGTATAATTTTCAATCTCACATCTGTGATTTCCTTGTGCATCCTGGATTGTTTTATAATGTCATTTTCAATTTGAGCTTCAATGCTTTTCATTAAATTATACAGCACATTATGAAGCAGAATGTAATTACAGAGTTAGTGCATCACCACACATTATTGCTAATTAAGCCTTTCTTATAAAGTTTAGGAAAAGTTGCCAGGCACTCAAATAATAGTTTTAGTGTCTTTTAAAACATTAAAAAGTTGATGGTTACTCATTTTACCATTTCCAATAACATAATCTGTGAGGTGGTAACCATGGATACCATTAGAGCTTGATGTTTTGGGAATGATTGATCAGTCTAAATAGCTTATTTATATGCTTTTTCAAGCCATTTAAAACATGTTTGACCAACAGTCTCGGCCAAAACCAATTTAAAATTGATTCCTGTAAATTATACCTACTAGAAAAAGATAAAATTGCTGCATAAATTTATAGCAAAAACTTAATTTAACTTAATTTCAAAACTTTAGTAAGGGAGACGGTTTAATTGATTATGTTGTATCTGGACTTTCTAGAAGATTTTTGTATTCAGCATTTAGGTGCTACTGGCTGAAGCATCTTTTAAATGACTAGGTTCTACAGGAGAGAATGCAAACAAGATTTCACAGTGGGCATCTGGACAAAATCTAATTCAGATTTGAGCAGAGCAACAGAAGGAAATCTGCTATATGTATAGAGATTCCCAATATAGCACAGGTGCCCTTGTCCCCGAGCAGAGACCCCTCCATCAATCTGAGATGGGACAAATGAATGCTTATGCAAAACTACTGTGTGAAAGGAGACTAACGGGCATATTGTGGGAACACAACCGTCTACCTTTCGTACGTTTCTTTTTTTTTACTCAGAAAACTGGATGCATTTGAAGTGAAATGTTTTACAGACTTATTTTTATCCAACAACTTCTCCATGCAAACTTGTAATACATTTCTTATTTGTGTTTTGTCTGTTTCTTTTGTATTATTGTTTTTCTCACAGTGGGTTTCACAGCAGACACAAATAAGCTAAAGCAGGGTAAGCAAAAATCTGGAAATCTTTAACTGAAACTATATAATTACTGAATTTTCACATATAAATGAGCTAAAAAATATCTCATGGCTGTCTACACATTTTCTCCCACACAGCAGATAGAGTACATATTCACCAACATCTAAAATATTCCTCCCCATCTCTCTCTCTCTCTTTCTGACTCTCTCTCTCTCTCTGTCCTCTTCCTGAGCCTCAACTAACTAACTCAACTAAGTCCATCCACCTTCCCACACTCATCCTCTCCCTGTATGCACCCGCATTCTGCCTTCAGCTCAGCTCTGGCCCCAAAGGTTCTGGCAGCGAATTAGTGCCTTTCATCATATTTCACCTTGGCTTCATGGAGGAATGTGTGTTTGCAGGTCCAACATTGTGTGTGTAAATGAGTTTAAAGTATACAAATTTATTGCTGTACTGCTGGCAGGATTGTGCGATCTGCAAATCTTTTATAGTGTCATTATGTCACTGTCAATGACTGAAACATAAACCTTGTTGCATATAAACTGTAACAGTAATAAACCATGAAACAGTTACAGTAACCCGGAGCCGGCCCAAGTATTTTTGGGACTGAGACGCAGAATTTGATTTGTGACCATTAGCAATAAACACAGTACAGCTTCCTGTCCCACAAATTATCATAATTTATTGTTAAAAGCTTGAGGTCTTGTCAAAAACATTGCCCCGTCATTGTGCACTCGTGCTGCTAAATTTGGCAAAATGGAATCTGGTATAGTTCTGTGACATTGTGAACTTCGAGCTGACCAAGAGTTTTCTTGTATAGAAGATGTCCAACCAAATCAGTTATAGGGATAAAAGATGAGAACGAACAAGTTTAACCATAACAGTACTAATGTAGTGTTGTTAGTGCTGCAAAAATTGTAATTTAAATACAAGGTGTGGGGAACGCTCTGGGCACCACGCATGGGGTGCCAGCTGTACTAGGTGAGCTTTGCTGCAGTAGCCATGGGTTCGACTCTGACCTGTGGCCCTGCTGTGTGTGCCAGTGCTGCTTTAGCTCAGGGTAAACTCTCTTTTGAACCCTATGATTTTAGACACAACAAAGGTCTGTCATCTGCAGCGACTTCACTGTGGTCAAATGAGCTGTCATTTACAAACACCACCCCAAAATTAAAGGGTGAGTCAGCTCACAAAAAAAACACCTTGTGTTTCAATTTTAATTGTTGTATTTTAAAATGAAAATCCAATAGCCCCTCATTTTTGTTTTTTTAATACATTTTTAAAATGACAAAAACATACACAGTCCAAAAGTGGTGGAGAAAAAGAGCAACAAACTATTGATGTAAATAATATTTAAAAAAATTAAAACATCTGAAGACAATGTTCTCTTGAGAATATCTACCTCTTTTTGCTAATTATTATTACTCCTGTGGCTCTGGTGGCTTTGACCAGGGGCCGGCTGGCATTCCACACACATACTTTAATGTCTACCTGCTGCAGCTTAAAAAGAGGCAAGAGCCACTGCAGTTTACTTTAAAACCTGCAATGTCTGCTTGTGTTATGTTCACTGTGGGAATACAAGGAAGGACAAAAGTACACTTTGGAGAAAAAAACTTGAGTTTGTTTTCAGAGTTTATGGGAAACACACAGGGACTAACAGTCAAGAGTTTACACACAGTATGAAGGTAAGCAGGGAGATCAAAATGTACGTGCTTTTGTTTGAACAAAATAGTGAAAGCTGGGGAAACCACAGGAGCAGACTCTTTTGTACAACACTTCAGAGACTTCAAAATCTTACTGACAGTCTGTTGCTGAAAAAGGAGTTTGTTCATGTAGTCAAAGTCACAGTCAGCTACATTTGTAGGCTTGCAAGTAGGTGTGCAAGTGATGAGTGGAGTATTTTTTTTAATGTGGTATTGCCATAGGGCCACCAATTAAGTTTGATGTTCAGATACTATCCTAAATATTTATTTTATTTTTCTCCAGAAACACCAGAGGCTATTTCTAATTATTTTCTTACTCCATCTCTTAGAAACAGACAGGTGAGAAGGTGATCAGCATTTAAAAGGTCACATCTCTGATGATGTGTGCAGATCCTTGATATAATGCTGTGCTCTGTGGTATAGATAGTGCAGCTTATCCAGCGATATGCCTCATGGCAGTAATGGAAAAGTAATAGAAAATTCTGACACTGAGATGTCTAAGGCTACACTGTGTGATGTGGTTTTCAGAGGAAGCTATGTTCCCGGGCGTCGTGCCTGAATCTGGCCCTGCTAAAGTCCTCGGGGTCTCCTTCCTCCAGGAGACAGAGACAAATAAATCCTTCCATAATTATGCAGGCTAACCGCCAAACCATGACATGCATAATGAGGATAATACACAGACACAGATCATTTACACTCAGGAGTCTCGTACTCGGTCACCCACACCCACTCACACACACACACACAACCTGTCCCTGCTCAAGTTGCGTAAACTTAAATAGATTATACAGACACACAGATCCAAACGGCAAAACTTGCCTTTGATCACACAGGGATTCGTGACTGCCCAGAGATTAAAAGACCAAACGAGGTGATGCATTCTCCATATATATGAGGGGAGAAAATGACAAACACATACTGCAACATTGCGTGAATATCAAGTACCAAAAAAAGGAGCAGAGCCACCATTCCCCCCCCTCAGAGAGAAGTCAGTCCTGATTGGAATGCTGCTCTGTGTGTGTAAAAGTCCTTCAGTTCTTCCAGGTGGATTTCATTTCATATCAAGCTGTTATTCACTGAACTACTTACTGTTGGTGTATGTTGTTTAGCAGTGAGAGTGTGTGATCTGGGAATAACGTCATGTGAAACTTGTATTTACACTCTTGGGTGCACCTAATCCTATATAATAGCTTCATAGTTCTTGGCTTTATGATTAACTGTTGATAATAGACACTGTACTCTGTATGCCTGACTTACTTATTTAACATAAACTCACCTGGATGGTTAAAAAAAACATGAAAGATGACTAATCATTATTGCTCAGGGTCCAGGTTTTGTGCCTCATACACCCAATTATGTGAATTTGATTCAAGCTATTTACCAAAAGCAGCTCTGCCTTGATTACCAGCTTTGTGAGAAAACAATGTGTTGCCACTAAGTGCTCTCTAAATGATCGTGCATGCCTAATAATGACATCATGATGAATAAAACATACACACATGCAGACTCATACACGCACCCATCGGTGATGACTGATTACAAATCATCAAAGGGTCCCATAAATCCTGAATGTGTTGTCTTTCAATCCCAGGAAAAGAGTTATAAAACCTCAGTGCTTGAGAATACTGCACAGTAGAAGAAAAATCTCATCTTCGCCTTCACACTAACACGGCTGTGAATTATAACCGGTATGAAAACTTTATTTTCATGGCAAAACCAGTCTAAAAAAGAACCCTCAATTCCATTTAACCTTAATGTGCATAGGAAGAGTGCTCTATGTATTTAAATGTACATATTTTAGAGCTTCCTATCCGCCTGCCACAAAACACTGATGTAACCTACACTCCATGTATCAGGTTTTCGAAAAACATGTGAAAGATAGCAGCAAATAGAGATTGCTTTTTAACTCAGAGGCAAAAACGTGTGTGTATGTGTTCGATTGTCTCACCATGGGCGTCACGGTAGTAAGCATGAGTGACACTGCGGAACCGCTCCTGTCCAGCTGTGTCCCAGATCTGCAAAGAATAAGAGGGGAAGGTAATCACTGAATAGAGAAAGAAGTTTCTATCTTTTTAATAAGTCCTCTATTTGCCTAGTCATGCTGCTGGAGCTCATTGTGAAACCCTCCATTCAGTGTACTCCCAGATGAGTCTGGAATATGGAAATGAGATACAGAGGAGTATTGAGGAGTCTGTTGTCTTATGAATTCAGTATTGAAGTTTGTAGTCAAACCTGCATTAATGGTTTTTCTAATGACTTTAGGCAGCGTGTAGCAAGCTGTCAATATAACACTATCACCATGAAGTTGCTATGTCTGAGCAAACAGTTACACAGTTGTGTTTACTTTACTCTGATTAATGTAAATCCAATATCATGTCTTTTTAGCTCCACCAACTCCTGAGGGACATATCTTTACCTCCCAAATACTTCGCCATGTTCACCAGATATTTGCTTATATGTCTGTCATTTGGTAATGGGCAGGTAACATACAGTGGGTATATCAGAACCTTTCTGCTAGAAACAAGATTGATATGAGTGATGAGTTGCAGGCTGTTGTAAAATCAAAAAAGTGAGCAAAAAAGATCCTAAACACTGTAGAGCAAGATCAGGACTTTGTCACAACAAGCAACCCCTTTTACAATACTCATAGCAATTTGATCCATCGTTAACATAAAAATATTGATTAGTGCTTTAAGGTCACAGCACATATTGTATTTATTATTTTCGCCATTATTCGTAATGTTTAGCTCAGTCTGGGTCATGATATTGAATATGAATCAGCCACGGTTGATGCCATTCTACCCATTGTACAACCTCAGTGGAATAAGGCTAATTCTTTCTTTTTCCCTATCAGACAGCTCTGCCTCTCACCATAATTTGGCTTCAGTGGCAATTACAATTTCTTCTCTTCCTAGAGCAGAGCTGTGCAGGTTGACTGAACCCTGCACTTGGTTTTTGTATGAACAATTCATTCCTTACATTTTTTCTGGACCCTCTCTCTCTCTCTCTCTAAGACTTGTCAGCTTTGATAGTGGTTTGGCCTCCTGATTGCCTCCTGGGGCAACCGTCCCCCTAGGATCCAAGTGGCAGTAATGAAGAATGGCAATTACAGGAGAAAAATAACTCTCTCTCTGTTTGTAGGCTACAGGCTGCTCTGCAAACTGACGTGGAGCCAATTAACCCCAAATGAATACATCACAGGGCAAAGGCCCACTCCACCAGCCTCCGTCAACCCCTAATTAAGATCATTAGGGATGATTCGAATAATTATTCGCTCTGTTTGACAGAAATATCAACCATACAACAATGCTGGGTTGTTCTCAGTATGTGCGCCAGTTCTCAAAAGAGTGAATGAAGTGCGGAGAATGGAAGAAAACTCAAAGCCTAATGTAAAGTATTAATGGAGATGAATGAACCCTAATTATCTTTTAGGGGCTTTTTGTATCAAGATCATAGCTTGTCCTCACAAAATAAGGGCATAGACAGATCTCTACTTCGTCTTGTACGATTAGGCACATGCATTAGCTAGCTAAAGTAAATAACAGGCACTGCTAAAGCTGAAAGGGGTTTTGACTTGGAAACAAGTGGGGCTGGAAACAGGATCTGACAGTTAGCTACAATATCTCAGGGATTAGAGCTTGATTCTTATTTGGTTGACACCTTTCACCTTGATGACGACTCTCATAAACAGTTATTTGATGATTGTCAGGATAAATTTAAGCTCTTACCTGGAGCTTCACCTTGACTCCATCAATGTTCAGCACTTTATTCTGAAAATGAAAGCAAAAAATCGTAAGTGACAGTGCCTAAATTTAAACCTTTTTTCCAACTAGCAACAACGTTTTCAGTGTTTCCGCATGAAACAACCTCAGGTGAGTGTGTGCCAGTTTGTGGTCAGACACCTGTCTCTTCCTCTCATCTAATAACCACACTCGTCTCTCCTCTCTCCATCAATACTGCATGTCTCCACCTCACTCTGGCCCTTTTTGATGAAGCCTCGCCTCTTTCCTCCAGAGGATTAACCCCCTCCACCCTCCTCGCCTCCCTCCACTCCGTCTCTTAGGGATACATTCCTCTGATCTCGGCTTCGATCAGCTCCACCACACCGCCGAGTGAAGCTCAGCCGGATGAATGTGCAGCTTCCCAGGTCAGAGGTTGACTCCGTCTTGATGGCTAGATTCACAAAGGTTAAACAACCTGCCATTAAATTAAATTTAGTCTAAATGACAGGAGATAGTTCAAGTAAAAAATAACTTAACTGTAAATACTTAACTAAATGTATTACTAAAAGTAGAGGCACTCTCAATGTCACATAAAAAGGTGCCTTATGCCTTTAGGCTCATTTTTTAATTAAAAAACTGCCATTTACAAAACATTACAGTATATATTGGAACAACTTGTCTCTGTAGCCCTTTGTCACACATGACCAGTGTCAGGAACTGACTCAGACAGATCAATAAGTTTTTAGGTGTGAATCTCCCTTATGCCCTCTGCCCTTCACCTCATCGATCAACATCACTCCTGTTCCAACAACTGGAGGAGCATTACATCATATTGATCTACACTACAAGAGCAATGCTCCACTTCCACAACCCCTCCGCGCCCTTGCCCACTTGTAGTGTTTCTAGAGGAAAAGAGGAAAAGTCAGGGGATCAGTAGTTAGCTCTCTAGTCTCATGACAAAGCATGTAATACACAAGCAAATTCAATTGTAGAGGATGGTGTGTTTTACTGGTTTTGCCTCATCCGGGCATTAAAGGTACATGTGTGTAAGAAGCCACAGTACCAGCAGGTGGCGATAATGAAAATATGAACGTATTATAAAGAGCGACAAAGTCAGTTATGGGACGAGGTCAGGGTGGATAGATGAGTCAAATGCAGGATTTTCACACAGGAGACTGGGGTTTGTATCTACCAAAAATGACTGGAACAATTTAGCGATTATCAAATTGTTGCATTGATTTGGACATATAGATCAACTAATCATTTGAGTTATAAAGGAATTTACAAATCACATGCATTCCCATTTTCTTTCCCATTCCGTGAGCTTAGCGGCTGCTGTAGCAAAGAGGAGGTCAAGATGTTCTTCAGTGACCCACATGTATGCCTCCCGGTACGCCAATGTGGCTTACATCACCTGGTGCCACGGCAACACTCAAAAGCCTCCCCCCAACCATCATCCCTTCTAGGTCGTTCCTGAGAGCCGATGCTAGCCTGCTAATTCCCCCAATCCCAAAGGAGAAACAAAAGATATTCAACCCCGACAAGATGCTGCTAATCTGCCAGCAGTGCACTTAGAAATAGATGCGGCCTTTGTTGACTTGTTCAGTTGATTTACCTCCCAGGGAGTTACAAAGGAGGAATCTCATACATATTCACAGGCAAGTCGAGCTGCAAGCTAGTTTGTAAGTGTGCTCTGATAGGAATCAGAGTCTCAAAAGACTTCCTCCCTGTTGTTGTTGTCACTAAAAACAACCCACAATGTGCTTGGAGGCTTCATAAATATTTAGTGACCCAGAAAAAGAGGCTCATGATAGCACCGTGGTGGGGATTTTGGGTGGTTAGTTAGGCTTGATTGCACAGATGATTATGTTGGATTTGTTAAAAGGAAATACTTGAAATCAGACATAAGAACACAGATTTAATGAGCACTGAGAGTGTGGACTAAGCAGGATAAAAAGTACCTGAGCAGCTTATATAACTAAGTCTACTGTGGTAAAACAGGGAATTAAAGTATTGGAGATTACAGGCTGTCAATCACACTTCCAGCAACACTTTGCTTTAAAAACTTTCTCAACATGTTACAAGCTGACACAGCTCTGCTCTGTGTAGTTACAGTTTACTTAAATTTACAGAGGGACAGCTGAGAAGCTTGTACCACTTTCAGGTCAATTTCATTCTGCGTGTCCCAGCAAACACCCTCAATACAAAACACATCTTCAAATACAAACTGCTCTACTTACCAGCCAGACACTGGATGTTAGCCATTTAATGCCCTATCTTTTTCACCAAAGGTACATGACTGAGAAGGTACAGTCAGTACAAAATGAGTCTAACAGCACTTTACAGGGATCATAAATTACAAATGCACGAGGAACTTTCAGAGGGGCCTGTGAAGTGTGAGTCGATAAAACATTAATGGCAGCGGTGTGAGGCAAAGAACAGGAGCATGTGGGCCACAGAAAGGTTGTGTATGACACACAATCATAGTATTGATGAAAACAATAAGAAAGAGGCTACATGCCGCCATTCCTCAATGTCTTTTCTATTGCTCCGAGAGCTCACTGGTGCATCCGATTGCCTGGCCTGACACACACATCAGAAATCAAAGCAATGGGGGAAATAAGCTAAAGAATCGAGGGCAGGGATATACAGAGAGGCAGGGCTCTACTCTGTAGTCAAACCAACTCCCAGCTGTCAAGTTCTCTAAGTCGTGCTGACATAGACATTATGCACACACTCGCACGTACTGTACCCACAAACACACTCAACCCCCTCACCCTCCCTGCATGCAGAGGAGCATTCATTTTATTAGCTGGTTTTGAAAGAAGTTTGGGGATGATTATGAATTTCCCCTCTTCACACTAAGTGGTGATTACAGTTTATGTCATTTTATAATCGCAATAGTGATATATTTCATGATACAGTAAATTTTCTCAAATCTCAATTGAAAAATTGTTTGTATAAAATGACTAAGATGAGAATGCCTGATTTTTGTTAATCCTGAATTAAATATCTGCTAGTTTAAGATATTTAAGACATTTACCTTGACTTTAGGGGTTTGTAAAGCACTTTGTAACATTTGTTTAGTACTATATAAATAAATGCATTACTATTATTATGTCTTCAGTCCTGTACATTTCAATTACATTTTCATAAAGTAATGACAGCCTACACAAATCAGAAATATTACATGAATAGCTTCCTCTGTATACAGTACAAGGTAAAATCTGTGACAGTAGACAAGCTTTAATTATAGCTTTAATTATTGGTATTGCTGCAAATTCATATTTATATTAATTCAGATCATAATTAGCCTACTACTGTATAGTCGTGCCTCAACAACAAGCAGACATACGATGTGGTGTCAGGAAATTGATTCAGGCCAAAAACGATCGTTTCAAATACTATATTTACAGTCACACCTGTAGGTAAGTATAGCACACAGCCTGCATTCATGAAGCTCATGGCCATGTGTCAGTACTTAAATAATAAGTTATTATTATTATGATCAGCCCAATGTGCAAATTTTAATCTTTAAATAAAATTTATAAAATAAAGCAGACATTTCCACCTCTAGTTTAAGATGCAGAAACCAGACATTTGCTTTTCTATAGTAACTGGTTGTTAAACATTCTGTGAGAAATATATAACTGCCTAAATATTGCCTCTTCTCGATACAGCTTCGTCAGCATTTTCAAACCACAAGACACTCTTTTACGAATACTTTCAATTAAGATGCGCTGGATATTCTCCTGGAGCCAGAGATAGCACAATAAATCACTTCACACCAGACACACACACAATGCACCCTATACACACCATGGGACTGGTTCATTGATGGGCTATACTTGCTGACCTTAGCTCATGTGGTAACAACGATTTTGACTGGTAAACTGCCTGTATGCTCAATTTGTTGAAATGTCGTGAAAAAGACAATAAATGAAAATATGTTTAATAAAATACATATTAGTGTAATGTTATTTTATAATGAAACACTTGTACAAAAGAGCTCATGCTTTTCAGTTATTATATTGTGTAATATTATGATACCACTATAATTAGATGTTAATTGATAAACATTATTCTGTGAGTTCTGGGAGGAAGAAAGGTTTTTGCTTATCAGTGCAGTTCAGTCGCTCACAGCTCTGACTGAAAAAGCAAAGTCTGTTTCTACAAAACAGTTCTGACTGTGCCCTAAGTGTAATAGCCGGAACCTTCCTGTTATTGACTTTCTCACTTGAGTGACCTGGTGAAGTTGAAAACAGAGACTAATTGAAAGAGCAGTGGGCCTTTGGGGCCATTCACGAAGACAACTGCACTGCCGCAAAACCACAGACTTCCCCATTAATTTGTATGAGACCAATCCAGGGGTAAAACAGGAGGGCTCTTGAAAAAAAAAAAATGGTCCAGGTAGAACATCTTGTCGTTTGTACCTTGTGTTAATTTACTGTTTGCCTGGCTAACTTCCCAGAATTGTGCTCAAGGGGTATACATTTGACAGTCTGTTCTAAAAGGGAAAGTTACTGATTTACCTAGAACATTTTACATCAGTCCATGTTTCAGATTAAAGCTGCTTCCCGGAACAAGTCACTTGTTCGTATTTGATCCTTTACCTGTAACCTGCAGCAATATGCTCACACTGACGCAGACACTTCCTGTGATCCAAACCTGCCCTTGGGCAGTAAATATGCACAAACACACTCACACAGCATTTTCTGATGCTTTATCACAGATCCATTATTCAGCTGAATGCTGTGACGGGGAGCCTTGACCTGTCTGAAGCTCTTCCCCAGGATCTTCTCACACACACGATACAAATCAAAGGGCAACACAACAGTATATGGTTGTGTGCATGGTTGCTGTGACCATGTGTGGTGGTGAATGATCTCCTGTAGCTGAATCACAGGACAAAGCAGGCTGTGGGGCAAGCTGTTGGCTGGAACCCCGACATTTCTTGTCTGTCCTTCAGATTTCATGAAACAATTTTTTTTCAGTTTCCCGCCCCTGGCGATATGAATATATAAATGTGCAGTATAAAGTTAGCTACT